CAAATATTAATCATTCATGATATCAGGGAATCAAACTGTTTACACGGCTCCGAACCTGTGGACTTAACACGTGTGTTTATATTTCTCTAGATAAATCACAGTATATCAATGAATTCATTTCACTGAGTGAAGTTTTGCTGATGACACGTCCTCTTTGGTATTTGGAGCTAATTCATCATCATGTCTGAGATAAATCACTGAATAAAGTTTTACAATGAAGTTTTCAGATCAACATTCAGAAGATTTTAAAACTGAAAAACAATGATAAAATCTTTTATCCTTCTCTTTACTCCCAGGACGATGGAAACATGATGCAAAGCTTCGAAACTTAGCTTCAGTCATGCAAAACCTTTTTTTAAATTTTATATCTCAAGCTGAGTTTCAACCTTTCAGAGTCTGTTTTGCAGCATCAGACACACGTCGACCTCCTCCATCGTTCAGTGATGTCATTCTTCTCTTGTTTAACGTCTCAGTCTGAAGACACGAGGAGGTGAGGCCGTCGTCAGCGGGACATTTCACAGCTTACACGCAGGTCTGGACCTTCCGCGGTTCTAAGCATGTTTCATAAGCCCGTCTCAGGCTGACCCTCTGACCCCGGTCAGGCTAAATGCAGGTCCTGTCCCCTCCTCTGACCCCCCCGTCAGCACCTCACTGTCAGTATTGCTACCTTCAGATTAGACCGAGAGAACAGAACCAGGTTTGGCTGCTGTTGCTTCAGCTTCTCACCTCATCATTACGTGTGTCACAGTGATTATATTTGCATTTATTATATTTACAATCCGCTTGCTGAACATTAGTAAAAGGAGGAAGTGCGTGTGTTATCAGGAACGTGTTGTTAAAAGATAACGTTCCATCCTCGCTCAGCGGTCAATCATCTTTCAGACCTCGAGGTCATCAAGTCCCAACAGATCTGGATCGTAACAGACTGCAGACCTTAAGTCTTCTTAGACGTGATCGTGTATTTACAGGAAAAGGCAAAAGTGTGGAGTTTCTTTAAATAAACTTCCCAGAAGGATTTGAGAAGGGGGCCGAGATCCCTCGAAGTTCAGCCCACTGGCTGCTCGGAATCGAACCCGATACCTGTGGAACATGACTGATCGAGGAGGAAATGACAAATGATTTGGTTTGTGTGCAGCGTCTGATGCAGCAAAGATGATTCGAGAACTAAAACAGACTAAAATCCTCTCAACACGAAGACGCTGCAACGGATTCAATGTTAATCAATTAATAAAACTGAGTTAATTGATACTGAAATGAATGAATTACCCTTGATGATGATGATGATGATGATGAAGAAGATGTTGATGAGTTTTTCCGACAGCAGCACTTACGTTGAAGAATAATTCTCTTGACAGAGCGACTCTCTTGTTCCAGTGCTGTTGAACGATGCGTCAGGAAATGATTTTATTCGTCTTCAACCAAACTCTTCATGTAGTAAAAGTATTTCAGTCGGTGCAGGACTGACAGAGACGTCACCGTCCTCAGCATCAGACAGAAACTTATTAAACACAACCGCACGGGAACCAAAGCTGTGAATACATTTGAATATTTCTGTGGGAACTATAGAAAAAACTGGGTCTGATAAAACATTTGACTGACGGCTCAGTGAAGCGAGAGATAAAGAAACACTGAGGACAAATTAAGAATTAAGATATTCGACGCCAAAGTTGTTCCAGAAAATCTGAAGGATTCAAGCTTGTTGCTGCTCTTGACATCATGAAGCAGAAACATTCCTTCTGCTACACGAATCATTTTCTCTGCCGCAGAAAAGAAAGATTTATATTTCTATTTTAAATGAGTTTGAAACCAGATCAGGACAAAAAAAACCTCCAATACGCCGGAACTCAACAAACCCTTCTCCTGATTTTCCTCTCCGTTCATAATGAAGAATAAAACCAAAAGATCAGGCTCAATCCTGATCATCATAATTACCGCGACACGCCGTGAAGACGCTGAAGCAGCATTAACATATGATGATTTGGACCGTGACCTGCAGGTCGTCGCTGACGCAGGCGGATGATTGTGTCTAATTGTCTTTTACACAATAACAGCTGAAGATGGAGGCGGGCGGGCGGGCGGCCGACGGGTGGAGCGAGCGCCTGGAAGACAAGGTCACACGGAGAGAATGAAGAACACGAAGAACACAATGTGTCGGGGAAAGTGTGTTTGTGTGAGAGTCCGAGAGCTGGAATGACTGAGACGAGCTGCTCTTCTTCAGACGCTCGCTGTCATCATCTCCATTTGTCTCCTTAAAAACTCTTCATGTTTCCTCTTCTCTCCAGTTTTTGTGCTTTGACGATTATCCTTTCATCTCTTTCTGCATCAGACACTTCATCTTCCAGCCGGAGGAGAAGTCGTGATTCTAAACTCTGCCGAGAGACGACATGCTGATCAACCACAGAACAGAATCCTACTGAGACTGATTTCAACTTTAGTCGGTTAAGTTTCCAACATCGATGCCGGGATCAGAAGCGTGTGTCCGGTTTGCAGACGACGTGGTTCTGTTGGTTTCGTCCGCAACTGGAAATTGTTTCTGGGGATAACATCTCGGAGGGTTAGAGGAACGAGGCCGGACGGATCACCAGCTCTATGATCATGATTTGATTTCAGTGTTTAGGAAGATGAAGTCCTGGTTATCTTAAAAACCTGGCGAGAAAACGTTTCTTTGAATAAAACGTTGAGCCATAATGTTTTATAGGTTTTATATTTATTATATCATATTATAAGTATATTCTGAAACACTGTGATTTTCTCTCCTGCACATTCATCAGCCTTCAGTTAACTGATGGGATTTTCCTCTTCATTTAAATTTCAAATGTTGTTCCGCTGCCTTTCTTCACTTTATGTAAAACACTTCGAGTTGCAAGATTTAATTTCCCGGCCTGAGCGGTGCTGCCCAGCTGATCCGCCTCCACCAGTGTGTGTGTGTGTGTGTGTGTGCGTGCGTGTGTGTGACGAGATGTGACAAGAATTGCAACCGTGTGTTTTCACAGTGTGCAAACATGGAGCTGGATGTGTGCATCATCCTCCGCAGGTCCTACATGCTAATGAATCCTATTACCCCTTTGTGTTGTTGTAATCTCATCAGACCTCGCTGCAACACACAAGTTCAGGGTTCAGGTTCCTAAGACACGTCTGACGGATCAGAGCGGCTCAACGCAACACCCTCCACCCCCCCCACCTGCATGCCTCTCTGCCAGGTAGCGCCATCTGATGGTCGGGGCCACTACTGCACTGGGTACATGTGCTCAGGCAGATGTGGAGCTACAGTTTCCATTCAGGACGCAGCGACTCTGTGCCGCACAGCAGAAGGTCACTGTCACGTGTCCCCTGATTGGACGCTGAACCGGGAACAGAGAGTGAATCACTCGCCTCCGCGGTGAAGTCCGGGAACTCAGGCAGTGATTTTAAAAGTGCTGTCAATAACAAACCTGTTGAATAAACGTAAAGTTGTGTGTTTCTCTGAGCTCAGCTGAACTCCACCTCGTCATCAGCCTCAGCACTCGGTGCATTTTAATCTGGCTGCTGTGGCCGAGCGGTGAGGTCACCGTCTGTCCCGTCTCCTCCTCCTCCATCATCCTCTGCTTTTCCCCGTCTCATCCAGTCCTCTGTTTGTCTGACCTTGCTTTGTTTATCATGATTCAGGGCACATCTGACTGCAGTGCTCTCGCTCTCTCAGGCTGCAGCACCAGGTATCTGCGGACCCTCTGATCACATCCAGGAGAAAACTACACAATCGATCTTCTTCCACAGGCGTGCGACACGTTGCTGGACACGTCTGCTACGAGCCGCCACGCGTCAGTGAACGGTTTGATCCTCTGCGTGAATCAGTGAGAGTTCTCTGTCAGGAATGTTTTATCTACGGAGGCAGAGAGAGGTCAGATTTACAGAAACACACTTTGGTGTCAGTCCCTTAGAGACGCCTGCTTCAGTCGTTATCTGGGAAATATGTGTAAATATCAAAAAGGCCCTCTCACATAATGTTGACGGATTTGTTCCCGTATCCTGTTTGTTGGGTTCTTTCCTGGTTCACGTCGCATCCTTCCACCAAGTTTCATGGAAATCTGCTCAGTAGTTTCTGTGTAATCTTACTGACGGACACACAAACCAACCAACAACAAACTGACTGACCGAGCTGAAGGAAGCTAACACGAGCGGCCGCATTTGAAATCATCCATTTTTTGACTTTCTGTCAAAGTGAATCAGCAGATTCTTCTTTTTCAAAATGCCTTGTTCACGTATTCATGTGTTGAACATGAATCTTTCAAATCTGATTATTGTTGAGACTTTAAAGCAGACCGCTGCAGTGGGTCATATATTCACGTCTTCTTCTGAATCGATGTCACGGCTCCAACTCCTGACCATGTGACCCAAACGCCAGCCAACCAGCAGCTCTCAAGGTGTTGAATCTACGATTTCCTCTTCAATCAGCGGGATCGTAGCGGCGTCCGCAGACATGAGCCCGACAGCCGGGGTCGAGCTGACAGGAGCCCCTGGCTGCAGCCCTTTCCCCCGGGTCGGCTTTAATGTCATTAACAGGTGGGCGGCAAAAATAGATAGAGGATGCATAACATGTGCACACACACACACACACATGCACACACACACACRCACACACACACACACACACCCTTGGCCTGACCACCGAGCCACTTCGACCTCCCCCTCCCTCAGCCCTCCTCCTCTCTCTCTCTCCCCCTCTCTCCTCTCCTCACCCTCCGTCACTCCGAGCAGAACCACACACACACACAAAAAAAAAACCAGGTCAGCGCCTTGTTAATATCATTGTGACGTTTGTGAAGTGGCGGCGAGCGTCGGCACGTGTGCAGCACGTGTTAGAGAACGGACAGAATGAATGTAGCATGTTTGACCCCTGCATGACGTTATTTGGCCGCTGAACTCTTTTTCTTTTGGGGGGGTGGGCCGGTGTTGTGTGGTGGGGGGGGGGCGTGTAATACAGCTGACCTGGCCTCTTCTTCAAACGCCGCCTGGGCCGAGTGTTTACGGAGGAGTCCAGTTTGCGTCGGTGTGATTCAACGCTGCAGGAACTTCATTCTCGCTGCCGATTCCACGGCGGCTTATTTTTGGAGACAGTAGGAAGGATATTTTGAGAGTCGACTTGTGAAACGGTGTCTTGTCGCCGGCCACAGCTGCCATAATGAGTTTCTTCCTTGTGCCTCAACGACGCATTTCCACCGTGTCCAAGTGGATTCCTAATGAGGGGGGTCGTGGTCGGGTTTGATGAGTCAGGACAGAGTTCGCTTCACTCAGGTACCATGACACTTTGTGATTCCTTCTCGATACAGGTTCAGTTTGATGTTCTGTAACAGAGAGGTTGCAGGTTTGATGCTGACATCTAACACATGCAACCTAACGAGGAGCCTTTGAGCAAGACGCGGCACGCTCGCACTGCTGCTGTTATAACGAGTGAATGGAAATAAAAGGTGAACTTTAATCTGCAGCATCGACACGAAGAGAAAACGAACCTCTGAGAGTGTTTTTTTTTTCATTTGAAGATGGAAATCATTTTATTATTTATCTCTGGAGATATTTTCTCTCTGCTCTGAAAAAAATGTACGAGGTAAAAAATGACAAAATCATAGACTGACATGTAGAAAATATTCATTTGTGATAAATCAGGAAAGACTCTTTCACACAAAGCGTCTTGTTTATTAAGAATTGGTTTTGATTTGACTCTTTTCTTTAAATTTTGCTTCACGAAAAAGTTTTCATTTCAAACTTTCCTCTTGTGTCTTCACATCATTGTTCGGAGTTTGAATCCACCAAATAAGACGAGAGTTAATAAAAAATCAGGTAAATTTAAGTACAAGCACGTGCTTTTTGTGTGAAAATGCTTTTTTTCGCAGCCCCACCCCCCACGCTCGTTAGCTTGTTAACGAGACAGACGCTGATGAAGTCGAGCCGTGTTCCCTCCCTGGGGGATGTGTTTCACTTTTGCTAAGAGGCGTCTGGTGCGACGCGTGAGGAGTCGTAGCCACACGTGATTGGTTGGTGGCCTGAACCTGTTTTCCGTGTTTCCGTGTCCCAGAGGAGCCGAAGTGTCTCGGAATAGACGGCAGGTTACGATTTCAGTATCTCACACACACGACATCTGAAAATAGACGAGTGATCGTGATTCTATTATGTTTAATGTTGTTTATGTTGCATCACAACACAAGCACAGAAAGTAATTAAAGAAATAATTATCAGATCTGATCCAGGTTTATGTTTACTTGATATTTTAACCAAACAACCACTTCTTCTATATTTCTTTTATACTATAAACATCAAGTTTTTCTTCTTTACACACGACGTATTACCCCGATCCACGAGAACTAGATCTAGTTACTCCTGAGACTCTTGAAAACGCTGCTCGCTCGTTTCGTTTGAAAACCCTGAAATTGTGTGAAGTAAGTTGTGCGAGACAACGTTTCATAAAAACCATCACACACACACACGTCGCTAATGATTTCACTTCCTCTTTCTTCCCTTCCCGTTTCCACTCTCACCTCTAGGGAGGATCTCGTCTTCTCACCCCTGACCTCTTCCTCTCTCACCGGACACACGATTCCACACATCTGCTCCAAATCTGCTGAACTCAAAATGATTTCTTTATTAGCTTTGCAGCTGTCGTCCAAGCCGCCATTTTTTCTCAAGAGGAATTTGATTCCTGCCTTTTCCTGCTAAAGACGAGTTTTTAGTTTCACGTTGGACTTTTTTCTATTTTATTTTTCTACCTCTTCGTCTCTTCCTCTTTTTCTGGGCACAAACTGAAAACACGCATCGTCTTTAGTTTGATTGTTTCTATCGCTGGAGTCCGTGTCGCCGGCGCAGCTCGAGCTTGGTCTCAGTTGTTGACTCTTTATATGTGGTCAACTTTTTTTGTGACGGATATGGAGGGACGCACCGTGGCCCCGGTGGCAGCAGGAGTGGGGGCGGGGGCTGCACAAGGAGGAGCGGCCCAGGGGGCGGGGGGTATGGCCAGCCTGATGAGCGGACGCAGCACGTTCGGGGGGAACAAGCGGCGCAGGACGACGTCAACGGGAAACAGCATGAGCGAGGCCCAGGAAGGAAAGGTGACTGCGTCATACTGTGTGAATAACTGAACCTGTCAATCAAACAGCTGCTGGTCCGCCATGAGAGTAGAAGATAAATATTTGTACACAACATGAAGTTCTTTACAGTACATTACTCCGTTTGATACCGAACTAGTTTTGGTTTGTGTTTCTGTCCCCAGATCAAGTTGGCGTTCTTCGTGGCCATCGTGGGCGTCGTCCTCACGGTGCTCGGCGTGGGGACAGAGTTCTGGGTGGAGCTGGCGGCCCCGAAGAGTTTTTATAACAATCAGGTGAAACTCGCACTCACATACTGAACTCTCAGAGCTGAACCTCGTCCTGATGGACGGAGGAGGGACATCACTGCTGATGTCGTCTTTTAAAACCTCTCTGATCGCAGACGTGCCTGACGGCTCACTACGGCCTGTGGAAGGGCTGCACCAAGACGCTGTGGGTGGCCGACATCGACCCAGGGAGAGAGAGCTGCGGACCTGCGGAGCTGCCCGGAGGTGACTGGTTTGGACGTCTGAGCTTAATGAAGACTGACGTACAAGTGTGTGTGTGTGTGTGTGTGTGTGAGATGATTGACAGACCAGTTGGTTGACTGGACGTTGGAGCTCATTGGTGCAGCTCAGGCGGAGGGAGGGAGTCGGTGTGAATGAACTAACGAAGCTCAGCTCGGAGTCTGAGCGGAGGATCGTCCTGTGGA